AGTTCATAGTATGAATATCAGTTCTTATTGGATTTGTTTGTTATATTTTTATTAGCTCCCATTCTATCTATGCATTATATTATTCTTACGTATCAGATTGTAGTCACTTAAACCTTAATTTTATATTACGACTTTATGATGTACTAAGTTATATGAAATAGGTAGCCTAATCAAATTTGGAGTAATTTATAAAATATGCCACTAAAAAATTTAGCGTCAAAATTTGCACATTGCACTATTTAAATTTCCTTTCATATCGGATAGAGTCGATTCTAAAAACTGCGATATTTCATAGGTGTTATCATTTCCTTTATGCCCATCTCTAACAATAATTCTAAAAAAAAAACATGGTTAAAATAAGGCCACACAAAGTTAATTTTCGTTTTGCATAACCTGGCGTTCCGAATTCAAGTCGGCGGTCGGATTTTTTTTTTAAAAAAATAATTTACCATAAATTAATAGATTCATTTTCATATTTAAATTAGTTTTCGATTTGCATCAATTTTTTTTTTTTAGCGGATTCGGGTGATACCGGATAAATTTATGGAATAATTGGGACAAGTAAAAAAATTTTTTTTTTTTTTTTTTGAGAAATTGGGTCGGCAGGTTATGCTAAACGGAAAATTAACTTGCATGACCTAATGAAAATAATGGCCATAGATTTTTTTAGTCGAACTTTAGCTTTAACATTCTCGACTTAATCCGCGACATTTATTGATGTTACTTATTATTTATTAAATTCCAAATAGTTTATGTTAAGTCTTTTTTCTCTAATCAGTGATTTAAATTTATGAAATTATGAAATTATTAATAAACATGTAATGAAAAAGTATTGTAATTTAGTTTCTGCGGTGTAACATACTCTGATTACTAATCGAATATTAAGGTCAGGTATAGCGATCTTTTTTTTTCCTTAAAAATCATCTATAACTAGGCGCTTGAGTTGCTTAAAGGGAGCTTGAAATGAGTGTGTATTGTTTTCTTTAGGAAAACAATGAGGGATTTGCATCGGGATAGGATAAATATTTATGCATTTCTGATTGGTATACATGATTTTGCTTATCTTTAAAGTGTACCACGTGAGTAATACTCTTAATTTCATTAGAACACTTTTAGTGGTTGTAATTGAGTTATATTGACAATTCGTAGCGTTTAAGTACGTAGAATCCTCTAATTCTTTTGGATCACGAATTACTTGAATTGTAAACTAATCTGTCAAAAGAGAATGCACTATCAAAAAGAAGATCGTTAAGGGTACGACCCTTGAGTAGTATAAATCTGAGAGAATTGGGACAAAAACTCTAACTGTCGTCAGAGATGCATTCTGCTTTTCAATTGTCTCTCGAAGCCTTCTTTTATACTGACAAAAACTCTAAGCATCGTCATTCGAGTGACGAACAATTTACGCTTGCATCGTCAGAGATGAAATATGTATAGCATTCTGCTTTTCAATCCTCTCTTGAAGCCTTTCTTTTATACTGACAGAAACCCTAACTGTTGTCATTCGAGTGATGAACGATTCATACTTGCATCGTCAGAGATGAAATATGTATAGCATTCTGCTTTTTGATCATCACTTGAAGCCTTTTCTATATCTAATTTGTTTACTAATTAGCTTTTTAACACTAAGGAGTATATACCTATGGTGTGTGCGATGCAGTAGCAGAGCAAAGTGGAGCATAGTTATCTTATTTGATTTCTATTTGGCTTTCTATCCTGGAGGAGCATAGCGACTCCAAATGTGGAGCATAGAGGAGCATAAAAAGCTTATTTGTTTACTAAATATATATAGCATTCTGCTTTTTAATCATCACTCAAAGCCTTTCTATCAATAGAAAAATTCATAAAAAAGTTTGACAAAACTCTAACCAAAAAGTTGGGACAAAACTCTAATCAATTTTATATATAAATTTTTTAAGATTTTTCTGAAAATATCTAGAAACATAAAACCCTCTAATATGTTTAGAGCAACGACCAAAAATAGAATAAGTAGGTTTACCACATTCAGAGCAGGGATTATGAGGTAAAGCTTTATAATGTAAATGGCAACCTTCAGAGTGAGTATTATGACACATACAAATTTCACCAGAATAATCAACAAAAGAGCAAGTATACATAGTACTCATTTTTATATAAGGTAAAAATTCAATTTAAACAATTTTCTATAAATAAATAATAAAACCAATATGACTTGTAAATAAAATCGTACATGTGAAAGCTGTGGGTATATATATTCAACACCACAAAAACTTCATCAACATTAAAATAGTAATAAAAATCCATGTCACTACCAAGATTTACCAAATCAGAATCCAACTCTGCCAGCTAATCCAGAAATAGAATTTCTTAATGCATTGAGATTATTTGATCCTCCAGAAATTGCTGAGACTATTCCATCACCAGAAGCTGAAAGAGAATATCTCGAAACATTAAGAATATTATAACCTATTCCACAATTTCATCAAACTAATATTATTAGTTCTGGATGTGAATTATTAGATGATCATTATAAAGTTGAGATAGAAAAAGAAAGCGTATATGCACAAGACCCTATCAATACTCTTGAGATACTTAGAGAACAAATAATAAATATTTTTAATGATAGATTTAACTTCACGCATAGGTTCAAAACACAATTATGCCTTAGAGGGAAAATGAGTCGATCAGCAAATTATCAACAAGGGTTATGTAATGATAAAATAAAAGAAGATAATGGAGAAATAGATTATAAAGAAGTTCTATTCAAAAATAAAGCAGTAGTAACTGCTAAAGAAAATATCCCAAGAATTGTAGATGAACTTATTTGGGATATTGAAAATCAAATAGAAACTTATATTGTTGAAGGCTCAGGTTGGGTTTATGAAGTATCAGAAGAAGTAAATATTGAAATGCCAATTTTTGTTCCATTAACTGCTACTTTTTATTTTCCATTAACTAAAGGAATACCAAAATGAAATAATAGAATTATTAATATTAAGAATGAAGATAATAAATGCTTTGAACAATGTATTTTAGAAGATTTATATCTAGCTCCTTATCATCGAGAGCGACCTCAAAATCAAAATCCTTATTTAGGAGAGTTAAATTCAATTTCTAGTAAAAGCTAACAATGATACAATGGAGAAATTTAAAAAACAGAATCTGTCTATATCAGTATCAATTTATGGATGGAGTGAAAGGAACTTATTCCAATTAGAATTGCATCTAAATCCAAAGTACATAATAGATGTAATTATAAAGAAGGAAATTGTCAACTACGTAAATTGATTAGGCTTTTATTAATTACTGAAGATGACTCTGAAACAGGAGAACTATCTCAACATTATTTTTTGATCCAAGGAAGAGATGGATTAGGAAAATTAGCTGGATATACAACTAAACACAATGGCAGATTATATGTTTGTGATTATTATGTAAGCTACCGAACTCATGACCCCAAGATTGATGCTCAGCATATGAAAGATTGTGAAGAAATTAATACTCCAGTTCAAAGAACAGTAATGCCATTGGTAGGCAAGAATAAATATAAATTTAAATGATATAAACGAATGTTAGATGTGCCTTTTACTTGCATAGCAGATGCTGAAACTCTCTCCACTCTGATTGAAAAAAAATCAAGAATCGAAAACGATAACAATTCAAGAACATAAAGTTATATCATTTGATTATATAATTAGGCGTAGTGATGGCAAAACCAAAGCACTAGTAAAAATTAGAGGTAACGATCCTGCTGGAGAATTTATTAAAGCAATGGAAAAAGAAATAGAACAATGTCAAAACTTTCTTGCAGAAGATCATATAATACAAAATTCTGCAAAGAAATTAATCAAAATATTGCAATCAGGAATAATACCAGAAGAGATAGCAGAAGATTATATTACTAGTATTAATATATTTCAATCATGGGAATTAGGTAAAATTAATCTCAATTTCAATAAAGAATATGAGAAATTAATTCATCTTAAACATTACTTAAAAGGTTTTTACCAAGCTCATAAAAGAGATCCTCTTGGAGTAGATATAGGAATAATGTACCATTTAGCAAATACAATTTATTGTAAGCTCCGATGTCCTGGAGAACCAATGAAAAAATTAACTACTCAAGAAGAAAAAATGCATAATTTGGCTAAAGAATGTTGGATATGTAAAAAGCTATTTGGAAAAGAAGATAATCTTAAAAAAGTTCAAGACTATAACCATATTACAGGTAACTATAGAGGTCCAGCCTATAGTATTTGTAATCTCCAACTACGAATTAAACCAGAGGAGTTTAAATTACCAATTCATTTTTATAATTTAGGTAAGTTTGATGCTCATCTTATTTCCCAAGCTATGGGACAAGTAAGCAAAGAAAAGATAAGTGCAATTCCTCATAATATAGAAAGTTATCTCATTTTTGATATTGGAAATCAAAGATATATGGATTCTTTACAACTTATGCCTGGATTTCTTGATTCTCATATATCTAATTTAGGAGCTGAACCATGTAAAGAGAAAGTAGATAAAGATGTAAATTCTTTAAACTTACAATGCAAAAAGCTCAGTCATCTTTATCGAATTGACTCAGATAGATGTTTTGCTCATCTAAAGAGATTTCCTATAACTAGAGAACATAAACCAAAAGGAAGGGATGACTTAGTATTTCATAAAGCTCCTTTCCTATATGATTAGTTTAATACACTAGAAAAAATGGATGCTACTTCTCTTCCTCCTATTGAGGCTTTTGACAATATTCTTAATAAATCTAAATGCTCAGAAAAAGCCTATAAAATAGCACAGGAGGTATGGAAATCTTTTGATATGAAAACATTCAGAGATTATCATGACTTTTATCTTAACCTTGATGTACTATTATTAGCAGATTGTTTAGAAGGATTTTAAAATTAATAAAAGGTAAATTTGGATTAGATGTTGCTCACTATGTTTTTCTCCTTTCATTTGCAGAAGATGCTTTATATAAAACTACAGGACAAGAGATTGAGCTATTTACTGATAATAATATGTACCTCTTCTGTGAGAAAGGTATCAGAGGAGGTATTTCAATGGTAAGTAATCATCAAGTTAAAGCTAATAACCCTCAATGTCCTGATTTTGTTCTAGAGTTAGAAGAAGCTATAAAAAAACTCTATATGTAGCTATTATATGTTGATGCCAATGCATTATATACTGAAGCAATGATGCAATCTATGCCAACAGGAGGACATAGATGGATAACGCCAGATGAAACTCCAGACCTTTTTAATAAAATTACCAAATGGGAGATCTCTAATAATGCAGAAAAAGGCTATATTTTGGAAGTTGATCTTGACTATCTATATAAATTACACAAAGCTTATACTTCATATCCTTTAGCTCCTAAAAATATTGAGATTTCTAAAGAGGAAATGAGTAAGTGTGGACAAGATATTATTAATGATTTAAAACATTATACAAAGACTAAAAAACTTGTTCAAAATCTCAATAATAAGAAAAAGTATATAGTTCATTATCGAGTATTACAATTTTATATAAAGCAGGGAATGATACTTACCAAAATTCACTGAGCTATAGAATTTAACCAAAGCCCATGGAAGAATTGGCAAGATCTCATGCTTTAGCTAAGAATGATTTTGAAAAAAATATGTATAAGCTTCTTGGTAATGCAAACTATAGAAAGACAGTAGAGAATATATGCAAATATCAAAGAATAGATTTTGTTAGACTAGAAGGAAAATCGAAAAAGTTTAAAAAATTAGTAGCTAATCCCAGTTATAAGTTACATAGAATTTTAGCAGAGAATTTAGTAGGTATTTCTTGTCATCAATCAAAAGCTAGACTTAGTAAACCTATCTTTATTGGTATGTCTGTCCTTGATGAAAGTAAGATTACCATATATAATTTCTATTATAATATTATAAAAAAACAATATAGAGATAATGTAGAAATAGTATATACTGATACTGATTCTCTTATATTACTTATTCGAACTGAGAATGTTTATAAAGATATGGCAGAGATGCATGAACATTTTGATTTTAGTAATTATAAGCTGGAACATCCTATATACAAAGCTCTCAGAAAAGAAAAGATTATTTTGAATAAAAAAGTTCCTGGTAAGTTTAAGGATGAAAGTTGTAGTACTGTGGAAATTTTGTAAACCAAGACCTAAGCTCTATAGTTATATTCTTGCTAATGAGAAAACAGATCGAAGAGCTAAAGAGGTAGTAGTTAAAAAGAACCTTACTCATAATATGTATGAAGATTGTTTAAAATTTCAAAAAAAATATATGGTAACAATGCATAGATTAGAAAGTAAAAACTATATTATCAGACTTCTTTGTTCATCTAAAGTTGGTATTAGCCCTTTAGATACTAAGAGATGGATTTTATCAGATGGAATTACCATATTAGCTTTTGGAGATTGGCGTATTATTGTATACAAGAAATTTATAGCAAAAGAAATATCTCATGAGGAAGCTGAAAAAAGAATGATGATGCTTGAACTAAAACCAGAATATCAATAATCAAATATTTATAATTGATTTATTTTTTATCTATAGCAGAAGAATGTTATATAAGCCCTATAGATACTAAGCATTGGATATTATCTGATAAAATAACTAGTTTGCCATATGAGCATTGGCGTATACAAGTATATAAAAATTTTATATAAAATGGAATATTTCAGAGTTGGCTGAAAAAAGAGCTTTAAGTGTTAAGCTCTCAAAAAAATGTCAAAATGAATATATATCCCATATAAGCTAAACTAGTGATAATAGAATGCAAAGCATCACTGCTTTGCAGAGTTATAAATAATATAGTTAATATTTTTTTAAATATTTAATTATTGCAAAGCAATGACCCTTCAGGTCTTAATTCATAGAATAGTTCAAGTTGGAATTTTGTATTTATTCTATATCAATAAAAATTACGTAAAAATAAAATATAAGAAGGCTATAGGACCTCCTTCTTTATTTAATAAAAATTTTTTTGCCAGAATGACAATATACAAATAAAGTAATACAAATAAAAATTAAAAGCCATAATAACCATAAACTTTTATTACTTTTGAAAATGTTATAGAGTTGATACCAGGGTAATTACATAGTATTTGATAAATACCTACACCAGATAGTTTTTTTTAATCACTTTCTGAATTGGAATCATTAGTCTTGGGGCATTAGTATCATTAGTCTTGGGGGTGATAGCTTCGTTATTAGTCTTGGGAGTGGTAGTGCTATCTTTGTGCTTATTTCATGTTACTAAATACAAAAAAATTTAGTAAATCAAATTCATTTTTATAGACACCGTTAGACAAAATGACATTACTTTAAAAATAAATTATGGTCAAATAAAAAATTTTATATGAGCAAAAAAATATTATTATAACCCACCTACAAGAAGCAGAAAAATTACTTATTTTTATACTAAACATTTGCTAGATCTAAAAAAACTTGCTAGTTATATGATTAGTAATTACGTTACTCTAATACTACCAGATCACACTTAACAAAGCAACTCCATTTCAGTTGTAAAGCCCAAATACTAAATATATTTTAGCGTCCTTTTAGTGACATAGACCCCTTAGATTTGATGCTGGCTACTACCAAGTGAAAAAGTCAACGATCTCAGTGATCTGAGAATTCCAAGTTCTATAACATATAAATTTTGATAATACTATCAATAAAGAACATTATACTCTTCCTTAGTATAGCCCTTCTAAATCCTATTTGTAC